AATGTCACATTTCAGCTCGAATTGAAAACTCAAATCCGTGAAGTGAACAAGACCTTAGAGTTTGAACACAATTAAACCCCACAAAACCTCAAACCAGATTCAAACGTAAAAAGGTTCAATTTAAATATCTTACTAAAATTAAAAATTTAAAGAGCAATTTGCTAAACTACGATAAATTTAGGGGATAAATGTGTTAAAAACCCTAAAATAATTGCCCTTTTCTAGTTCTAGTAACGTTGAGCTTCTTATAATGTTTCCTAAGGGTCCGTTTAGTTTGCTGATTCGAGTTTTTAACTCGAGTTAAAATGTGACTTTATGTGAGAGCTTTTTTAGTGTAGTAAAAAAGTTAAATATGGCTTTTTATGAGAACTTTTTACTATAGCAAAACTCAAATTCTAAACTCAAATTGGTAAAATAAACGGGGCTTAATTATTAGTCTCAAGATTATTTTTGTTTAATTTAACGCCCGTTAACCACTAAAATCAATTACTACTCTTTCGGAAACTCGGACTTAAATGGCAAAGGAAAACAAATTGGGGACAAAATAAAAATTACGAAAAATATGCGAGGTGCAAGTATAAAAGCCTAAAAAAAAAAAAAACATTTGTGGTCTTGCTGGTGGGTGGTAGTAGTGGGTCAAAGTGGGTCTTTTGTCCAAACCAGAGATAGAGAGGCAGCCAAATGTCCCACCCTCACCTTAGAGATCCGGCCATTAAGCTCTTCGGCCGGAATATTCCCTTGCCGGCCTCCAATAGTCCGCCGGATTCCGGTTCCGACTCTCTTATTCCGGTGGCTCCCCAATTCACGGTTAGCTCAATTTACTATCCCAACCTCCTAATTGTGCTTCTTTTTTTTTTTTGCTTTATTTTTACTTAGATTGAAAGATTTCATTTTTACGTTGTTTCTTTCTCTTTTTGTGTAGATGTAAGAATTTGTATTTTATTTGCAAGTGATTTTGCCATCTTTTTTGTTGCAGAAGTTAAGTTCAATGCTTTCGTTGTAATTGTAGTTGCTTATCAGACTAAAAATTAACATGACATTTCAAAAAAAAAAAAAAAAAAGGGGGAAATTTTTAAATTTTTCTTTTTTTTTCTTTTTTTTTTTTTTTTTTAATCCATGATACTTTGATTCAAGAACCAAGCCAAAAGTGTAGTAAAATATTGGGCGCACAAAAACAACAATAAGTACCAACAAAAAGTCGATTATTCAAAAGCTACTGGCTTTATTTCAACACCCTAATTTTGAGCCGCTAATTATGAGTTTATACTGCTTACTTTAGACCTGCAATAATTGTATGTGATCATGTTTGTAGAGCTTGAACACAAATTTTACAGGACGTAGTTTTTAAATTGTGTAAGAAATTTTCGACTGGTTATTGTAGAGAATAGTGGGCAAATTGGAGAATCTTAGATTGCAATCAAAGCTCAGTAAAGTGAGAAACACGATTATCAATCAAAGCCTACTAAGTGAGAAATATGATTAGCTTCTGCCTATGTTGTGTTTATCATGTAAGGCGGAACATGGATTTGGTGATAGTTAGCCTTTTATAAAGTTAATGAGGGGACATGGGGCTTGATATTGTTATCTCTGGCACATTATTTGCTTAAGGTGCTTGAACTGCCATCTTTGTAAGCTAGACGCTTAATCAAATAGTTTAAGATTAAAGCTGATTTAAAGTAGATTTGTATCTAATGAAACAAGTGAATTTTAACTTTCCAGGATGAATGTAGAGATGAAACTAAAGAAGAAATGGAGGATAGTGTCGAAAAGTCTTGTGAGCAGGATATTTTATCCGAATTCGATGGGAAACAGTTCAGTCACCAAAATCCTGGCCAAGAGAATGAGGCTGCTGTAGTAGATCATAACAGTGAAGAAGACCAAGGTGCTGAAACCGATAAAACTAGAAAGGAGAAGGCCCTTAAAAAGCCAGACAAGGTTCTTCCTTGTCCTCGCTGCAACAGCATGGAAACAAAGTTTTGCTATTTCAATAATTACAATGTTAATCAGCCTAGGCACTTCTGCAAGAATTGCCATAGATATTGGACTGCCGGTGGCACAATTAGAAATGTTCCTGTCGGGGCTGGGCGACGTAGGAATAAGCATTCATCTTCCCAGTATCATCAGGGAGCAACAAACTCTGATGCAACAGCAGTCACCCAGGGAGGCACCAATGGCGGTGACAGCCAGTCTCTGTCATGCCTTCCTGCCTCTCCTAGAATCGTCAGTGGGAACCAGGAAATGGTAAAATTAGTATCAGATACTCCTCTGTATGAATCTATGGAAACTAAGCTTAACCTCAGAGACCAAAAGAGAACAAATACTTGGTCTGCAGCTTATGGAGATGGTTGTGAGGAGCCGTCATCATCCAGCTGTTCCATGGCAACCACTACTTCACAGGATAATGGATATCTGGGAAAAGATGACAGCAGTGCTGTGCATACGAATCCAACACCGTGCTATCCTGTAACTGTTCCTCACTGGGCATACCCTTGGAACCCAGGTTGGAGCATTATGATGGTTGGGGCTAATAGCAGCAATCCAGGTCCTTCCGTTATGAGTTCTATGCCTGCGATGACAGCTCCTGGCTTCTGTGCACCGAACATCCCTTTTCCGTTTGTCCCTGCCCCATATTGGGGCTGCGTACCAAGCTGGGATTCCAGAAAATGGATTTCGCCAGTTTCACCTTCATCTTCCACTAGCAACAGTGGTTGTTCGGGTAGTGGCTCGCCAACCTTGGGAAAACATTCAAGAGATACGAATATGCAGGCAGAAGAAAAGACAGAGCAGTGCCTTTGGGTACCCAAGACATTGAGAATTGATGACCCAGATGAGGCTGCAAAGAGTTCTATATGGTCTACCTTGGGTATTGAGCCAGATACGAATCAGCCTGTTGGGAGAGGTGGTATTTTCAAGGCTTTCAAACCCAAATCAGATGCTAAATCAGATGCAAAAGACGATGATCACGTTTTGCAGTCAAACCCAGCAGCTCTTTCTCGCTCTCGTTCTTTTCAGGAGAGCACATAAGAGTTCCGGTCTGAAATGGAGGTTACATTTATGTTGTTTGTCTGCCTGGTCTGGCGGTTTAGCTATCGAATGAATGCACAGAAATTCTCTTTTGCAGCTCCTACACGATCTTACTGCAGTTTTGAAGGCGATATGATAAAAACTAGTTGGAAGAACTATCTGATTTTTTTGCTAACTCGTAAATAAAGGTATGCAACATTGCTGCTAAAGAGCGCGAGCTGTACTGTAATTGTGTTTGAGAATTTGAGTTGTTGAAGAACGGAAAAGTTTATTCACTCTGGGAAAAAAAAAGGTTGAAGAATGGAACATATTACACGGAAAGTAGGTACAACTCATTACGTAATATGTGTTTCAAGTTGATTCAATGAGCATTCAGAGCTTTGCAAAAGAAACAAACATGACTGTATACGAAGAGTTATTTCTGTTCATCAAGTCTGAAACTGAATTAGCTCAACGCTTTAAATGTGAAATTTTTTTTTTTTTTTTTTTTTTTTCCTTTGTTTGATTGATGTTGATGGCGGCTCTTGATCACTTTGGCCTAGTTGATTTTTTTTTTCTTTTTTAAGTGCATAGCACATATTTTTCCTGGAATGGCCATACTTGACCGGAGTTATGTACGAGGCTTTGATTTCTTGCAAGATTACATTCGCCCGATTCCAACGGGCAGAAAAAGCAAGAAATTATCGTGCTCTACGCAAGGCTAAAAAAAAAAAATATTAAGTTCTACTTTTCGATGTTCACCATGCAATGCAACCATGGATAGGAAACCAAAACTATCTGCTACTTTTGCGGGAATCCTGTCATACACAGTATGAATATTGTCTATCAGGAGCTACGGAGTTCTATGAAAATCATTATAGACTTTGGCTTCGTTCATTTCACTGATTCGAGTTTTCAGTTCTAAGTTTCTACAGTAAAAAACTCTTAGAAAATGTCACATCTAATTTTTTTTACTACAGTGAAAAATTCTCACAAAATATCACATCTTAATTCGAATTAAAAACTCGAATCTGTAAAGTGAACGACGCTTTTGTCCAGTAACAACCAGCAAAAGTGATAAAAACATCTTACTCAAATGCTCCTCAATGGACCGGCTTCTATGCGGTAGAATGTAATGAAAAACACAAACACTATGCAATAATAGAGATATATATAAGCACTGTTTTTTATTTTTATTTTTATTTTTTATACAAGCCGTAATTAAACCTGCAACCTCCTTCAAAATCCCACACCACCCGTATTCTCGGTGCCACTAGACTGAGAGGTCTTAAACATATATATACACTATCAAAAACACAATTTCGGTCAGGCACTTTTTTTTTTTCCTCAGGTTTACCTTTGGTCTTTCCGGAAGAGGGATGAGTCCTATCTTAGAGGATGTTTGGTTGGAGGATTCAAATCATAATTTAAATTATGGTTTATAGTTCGCTACAGTATTTTCTCTCACAAAAAATACACGTAAATTAAAAATAATTTTAATTTATGAACCAAACGTCTTTTAATCTTTGATTGAAATAGTAGATCGCTCGGCACTTTGTTTTTTTTTTTAATATTAGTATTATATACTTCCAGCAAATGAAATAACCGAACTGGAGATACGAGTTAATAGTTATTCTTTAGGTTATAGCTTATCTAAGATGCAATAACTTATTATAAAAATATTGTATACGAAATCCCTGAAATATTCTGTTTTGTTTCTGAGAAAAGGCTGATCCGATTACAAATATTGACAGGCTAATAAAATGTTCTCTGATAATAAAAGATTTCTCCTAGTCCTCATCTCAAAAAAAAAAAAAAAAAAAAAATCCCTTTTCTACATCAGAGCACCAACTAAATTAAAGGGTTTTTTCTTATTATTTTTTATAGTACTAAACAAAATATTTCAAGGATAATACTAATTTTTGTTTTTAGCAATTATAATAATTACCAACGATCACGATTGTTCTAATATGATTACTTGACTTAAACCGTTCATTTATTAAATTCGTTCTTTGATTAATGTAATGTAATAAAAAAATTAATCCAAATACAAATTTACAATTAACAAAACAGAATCCTAATAAAATATATTGGGCCTATTTGGTAATATTTTTAAAATGGTTTTGTTTTCGATACAAAAATGAAAATAAGATTGTTTTGAAAATCATTCTGAAACTGATTTTGAAATTACGTTTAGTGGTCTTTCAGGAGATTGATTTGAATATGATAAAAAAGTGAAATTGTGTTTGGTTATATTTATATTTGTTTTGAGTACATGTAATTAATAATCTTAAATTAATATATTAAGTAATTAATAATTAATAATTATTTAACAAATAAAAATTAATATATTAATAATATAATAATAATGGATAAATTATCATCAATGAGTACATTAGTAATTAAACTATATATATAATAAATTAATATGCTTAATAATTAAAAATAGTAATTAGTAATTAATCATAAGTAATTACTAAGTTAGTAATGGACTCATATTTATTAGATTATAAGTAATTAATTAGTGTATTAAGAAAAGTAATTAGTATATATATATAATTTATTAATATTCTGTTACTACTTAAATAATTAATTTTTAGTTATATAATTAAATAATTAGTTAATTAATTACTAGTGTTCATTTAATAATCTATTATTTGATATATCACGTGATCATTTTTTGGTAATTATTCTTTTTATAATGATTAATTACTAATTATTAATTATTAATTATTATTGATTAGTATATTATATATTGATAATTATAATTTAATATTAATTGATTAATTGATTAATTACTATTTATTTTTTATTTACCAACTATTTACT